AAAGCAGCATTTGAGACCAAGGAACAGGTTAAACTCTGAAGCGTTGCCTACACTCTGAAAGTTACCTGTTACTGACAACAGGTGCGGCCCATTGGGTGCTGAACCTAACTTTAGCTACAAGTGCTGACAAAAACAAACAAACAAACAAGTTTCGACCCCATTTCAGGACCCAGCTCTTACCCAAGCTTTCTGGAGAGGAGACAAGCACTGTCCTTCGCTAGGCTTGTCGTTAAAAACATGCTCGGTAGCAGTTCAGTCCAGTCACACATGGAACTGACACTGGCTGTCGCTTTCCTGTCCTAGACAAAGCTTAACTGACCCAGATACCGCACCTCAGTATATTGAATGTGAACCACTTCCATTTACATGGAGAGAAAGGAGACAGCCGTTAATTCTCTCAGTACTGGAGCTATGATCCTTGCAGTCCACAAACAAAGGCCATGTATACACTATGGGGACTATACAGGCATAGCTATAGGTCCAGAGCAATGCTGGCATAACCCTGTAGGGTATGCCCATAGGAGGTGGTTTTTCTGTTGCTGTAGGAACACCATCTCCCTGAGCAACGTTAGCTAGGTTGGTGGAAGCATTCTTCTATTGGGCTAGCTGCGTTTACACTTGGAGTTCGGTCAGCATAGCTCCGGCACTCAGGACTGCAGATTTTTCACACCCCTGGTCACTGTAGCTATGATCACCTAAATTTTAAGTGTAGCCCAGGCTCAAGTAGACCATTTAACTGCCAGCTAATGAACAGAAATGCCATTAATTCATCCAGTAATGTTCACACTGTACTCAGCATCAAGGGCTTTGACCCAAGTGAGGTCATTGTAAATTAAACTAATCAGGGAAGGGTAAATGACGCTTATTCAAGACAAACAGGAGGGTGATTTGTAGTTGTGGTGCCTAGTGAGAGCCCCCCACAACCCACTTAACATTTCCACTAGGCAGGGAGTTTGTAGTGGTTGTAGCCTTATGCCCATGCAGAGGTGTGCGGTTGCATCCTAAATTCAGCTCCAGGAGTGGGGTATATAGGTAAGAAACCTGTGAAAGCAGTTTGCAGAGCTTACTACTTCAGCTCCCAGAGGGGAAAGAGGATGAAAACGTTCAAGATCAAACAACTCTACCCATATAAAGTAATCTTAGCCACCAGCTAGGTGAACCATGGATTTTAAATGTTCCTAAAGTGGTCCTGGACAAAGTCTATCGTTAACTCTTCGTTATCACCTGCGGGAGCTCCCCCTTAAGTCACTCTTGATTTCAGTGGTGCTACCATGAGTTCAGTCCTTACCAGGTTAGCATTACATGTTTTCCTAACCCAGGCCTCCTACATGGTCTATTAGTCTGCATCCTTTGATTCAAGGCCTGCATTCCGACCCGCAATCCCTCAGGTGTCAGCTTGCCAAGGTGGGCCTTTATCTCCCCAGTTCCTTTTGTGCTGCTTGCAGGAGGAAATAAACTGCTCTCCTTGAACCCGAGGGTGACGTTTTCCCGCAGCCAGCTCCCTTGTCCAGGCAGCCCCAGCACCAAGAACAGAGATACTCCAAATGAGAATACATGTTCGTTATCAGAATCAGTGCCAAGGTGTTAGATGAAACCAGCTACTGCTTCCTCTCTCTCCAGTTTCATGCTAGCTTCTATTGCCTAGAGCTGGGATTAAACCGTCCTCACAGCCTAAAATCAAAGATTGATCAAGTAATCTCCATCAGCACACTTTTCCTACACCACTCCTCCAACCACATAAGCCTTATTTGTCAGCCTCCACTCTTACTGGTCCCCCTCAAGGGCTTTCAGAAGAAGCAAGGCTTTTTGGCAGCCCAACACTCTCGCTGTTCATGCTCTGAGATAGGAAAACTCTCAGATGCAAATCCTCTTAGAATTAGTTTATTTAAATTCACATGAAATAATTAGTCTGCCATTTTCTAGGAGTAGCTACCCTCGCTGGTACTTTTGGAGAGTACTCATTATTACCACAAATACTCAAGGGATATGAATGTGGATGGTCACTCCAACAGACGTAAGAATTTCCTTTACTAAGCAGATTGAGAAAAATCCAAATGTGCTCCTTGCTCTGTGTTACAAAAGCTGCAGACCAGAGCAGTACCCTGGCATGTCTGCAGGGAGCAGGAGTTGCCTTTTCAATTCTCCACATGGCTTTACCCTACATCATCCCTTTGCCGTGGGTTCATTTTGGGTGCAAAGGTATTAACTGAACCACCCAAACCTGGATGGGCAAATACCACTCTGTGTAAAGAACTCGAAGGAGAAATTGTTACAGTCTGTGCTTTGGAAGTTGGAGAGGCAGAGAGATCCAAGGATACACTACAGGCTGGAACCAGCAAATCTCTGCTGTGCCAAAGGTCATTACTCAAAACCAGGTACCAGCTACCTACTCACACAGCCTTTAGCCATGGACGAAGAAGCTATTTTGGTAAAGGGAGAAGCACATACCTACGGCAGCCCTTTTGTGGCAGTTTAAAGAGATAGCATTTATACCCTCGTATTGTCCTTCCTTAAAATGGAAGGACGGCTCATGGGATTTCACCCGCAGGAAGTGCAATGGGGCTCTGAAGAGTGACAGCCTCTCTCTAAGTCCAACTACAAGAGTCGGGGAATGTGTTATTGCTGAGGTTTGACCACTCCTCTTCTGCAACTGGCACGTGCAGGGGGTGGTGCTCTCTGCAGACAAAACCCAAGCAGGAAGTCTCTACACAGGCCAATTCAGGGAAGGCGGCAGCCGTGCATGTGAAGCCATTTCAACCAGGGAGCTTCCAGTGGATTAGGCCTGTAATACTGTATTATACTGTATTACAATAGTAATTCTGTACTACTCTGCATTATTCTCGTGCTCCGAAGCCAAACAATAGGCACTTCATGTGACTGAAGAACAGAACTGTCTAGGGAACTCATCATAGGATGACAGGCTCTCCTGAACACCAGACAGCACTTAGCTACAAAAGGGCTTCAGAGACCTATCGCGCTCTGTCATTCTAGTTTTCCCTGATTAATTTGCTAAATGACCTTAAGGTCAAGCCACAACTTCTGTGCCCCAGTTTCCCCATCTGTACAGTGGGGATAATTCAGCCCTTTTCAAAATGTGGTAAGTAACATCTTCAGGTTTTTCAAAGCGCTGGGAAGGAAAGCATTAAAGACATCCACAAGGCTGGATCACATTTTTCCCCTACTGTGAATGCTGGGAGGTTCTTTGCTGGTATTGCACATACATACAATAAAACAACTAAGCTTTCACTAGTGCAACTGTTTATGCTGGAAAAATAAAGGCTTAATTGCATCTTTAAGAGGTGAATTAGGGGATTGATTTAGGGATTTAGCATTTAGTGAGGGATTTAGCATTCTCCTGTTTGGCTACTGTAATATATAGTAGTGGACACGCAAGACAAAGCTGGCACAACCCTGCTAAAACTGTTAATTCTTTTAAGGCAGGTGCAGGCAAACTTTTTGGCCTGAGGGCCACATCGGGTTTCCAAAACTGTATGGAGGGCCAGTTAGGGGAGGCTGTCTCCCCCGAAACAGCCAGTCGTGGCCCAGCCCCCGCCTCCTATCTGACCACCCCCCCACTCCCACTTCTCGCCTCTTGACGGCTCCCCCAGGACTCCTGCCCCATCCAACCCCCCCAGGACTCCTTCCCCATTCACCACCCCCTGCTCCCTGTCCCCGACCACCCCCAACCCCGACTGCCCCACCCTCCCAGGACACCTGCCCCATTCAACCACCCCTTCTCCCTGTCCCCTGACTGCCCCCGCCACCCCATCCAACTACCCTCTCCTTCCTGACTGTCCCCCCGGGACCTCTGCCCCATCCAACCCCCCTGTTCCCCACCCTCTGACCACCCCAACCCCAATCCACACCCCTGCCCCCGACCACCACCCCCAACTCCCCTGCCCTCTATCCAACCCCCTCCCCCCGCTACACCCACACCACCAGGTTTAAGAGCCTTGTTTATAATTTCTGGCTGTTCGCTGATGTAGGCAGGAGAAGGGGAGACGAAGAGTCAGGAATACAAAGCAGAAGTAAGGCTCCTGACAAGTAATTAAAAAAACCTCACATGTGCTAGACAGACACACAGTATTGACCAAAGTAAGTCTTCAGAGGAGACTTCTTAAGGTGAAGGTAAAAGTGCAGAGCTGCAAGAGAGAACACTGAATTGTTCCAGCTGCCTGACCAACAGAAAAACCATCACCACACAGGAGTTATGGTGTTCAGTTCCAATTCTGGCAGTCATTTTTTATTGCAGGAGTTTCATTCTCTTCTTGTCTGAAGAAACAGGGTGACGGTACAGATAGGCACGTATTAGTGACTCAGCTCCACCCTCCACAACCTTGGGAGCAGTTAGCGGTTCTGCCACCTGTGCCTCTTTGCCTTCTTTCCATTCAGCATTTCTGGACGTGGGTGTCAGTAACGGAGGTAACAATACTGATGTTAAGGTAACTACTTACCTTCAGGTAGGCGTGCAAATTTCCAGCAAGAAGTCTCACTGCATTTAGTGGTCAAAGCATAAATCCTAATAGAAATATTAGTGCTGTAAAATACAAGATCTTCTTACAAGCACAGAATATGCAACAAATCATGAATGTCAAATTCTTATGATAATTGACAGCAGGGTAGGCAGAGAAAAAGCCAAAACTGTGTGTTCAGCCTTTAAATCAGTTGATTCTACCTAGAATACAGCAGCTCCTAGGGCCCTCTGACTGGGGTCTCAATCTGTTGTTCCAGCATATCATTACACTAAAACAGTCAAGAGTAACTGAGTTACAGAAACACGCCCAACCATTTTGCTCAGCTAAGATTGGAGTTTGTATGATAAATGACCTGACTCTGTATCTGTCACAATTCTGCCATAGCTACAATTATGGACTCAAAGATAAACTGATGCCAAAGAGTCTGTTTATTCCTCTATCAGGCAAGAGCAGAAACCAAATTTAATGTAAATTAAATGTCTTTAAATCTAATAAAATTAGATAATTGACGACACTAGCCGAGAATGAAAATTAATCAAGATATTTAATACAGTGCAAACCATAGTTTCTTAATTAAAATAGATGTATGCATGTATCTGAATGGGTTATCAGTTACCACAAATAGCAATGAACACTGCACTGCTACATAGAAAAAATGTACAGCTGGATTTTAAGTGTAAATCTCCCTTACTTCCAAGGTAGTGTTTATCAATTTCAAATCAGTTTCACTAATTAAAAATGGGAACAGTGACTAGGTCAGTGCAGTGATAGAAGGTGATCACACAGTCAAAGGAAATAAATACAGAGTGCAAAGAACTAAAAACCTAACGCATTCTTATACCTAAACATGAGAAGCCGATGGTGGCTTATGACTTTTCCTTTTTAAATGCCTTACAAGACTTCCAGACACACTTTCAACTGACTTAAAATTACAGGCTGCATTTCAGGTCATTTAGATTCAATACACCCCAAAACTCTAGAAGATGAAGATCCAGCAGTGGCATTAGCATAGTCCAGAAGCTGAACGTTGGATTTTGCAAATACATTTTATTTTACAGAAATTCAACATCAACTGCAGGCAAATTTCCCCGACCCCCTTTGTTTTCTTTGCGCAGACCATGCTATGCAGAGTACAGCGATGCAGTGCCCACTGCTTTGGGTTAAGATTAAAGAGATAAAAGACATTTTGCTGAATGTTTTGTCCCCATCACACTTCACGTGCACCTAGAACAGGTGGCCAAAGTCTGTTTTGTTTTTCCAAGCCATTGCTGCTGTAGTTACATGTTTCCAGCCCAAGCTTCCAACTCTTTCATGTCATCATCATCCTCCTCTTCTTTCTTCTTGGCTGTAGCATAAAGAGAGTGTGAAGAGTGAGGAGCAGATACCTTGATGTAACCCCATAATGTCTGCTTCACCTGGACATGCGACTCTGGACTGCACAAGGCACTAGGTCCCATAGAAGAGCAAATATGCCACATGAGGTTTTCAGTTACAAGACTTATGTGCCATTTTAAAAGCCAGCCAGGATTAAACTTCCTGAGGCCATATTTCAAAAAGAGAAAAGAAAATGGTTTGTGAGAAGAATGAAAATGTGCATTTTAATCAGAGTGATACACAAGCATTGCCCATATTTGTCACAGTCATCAAATCTCAAAGCATGGGAAGGTGTAGACCTGTTTATTTTAGGAACTCCTTTGGAGCCATGTAGAGTTTATTTAGCTAAGCAGTAGCCATTTGGCAATGGATGCCAATACCTTTTGGTTTCTTGTTGCTCAGCATGCTTAAACCAACCACTATGGATTTGGGGCTATTGGTCTTAGACTGATTTGAGCACAGCACTAGCTGGAAGAACAGATGAGTTGGGAGCCAGGAAATACCAAGTCCTGGCCTAGGATCTCTCAGATTTCCTGTGCTGTTTTCACCTCTGTCTCTCAGTTTCCCTCTCTGAAAATGAAGGCAATAGTTACCTTACAGAAATATTGGGAAGGTTAGTTAAAACTGTACAGTGCTTTGAAGATGTAGAACACTAAGTCTCACCTTAAAAATTTCCAAATACTACACTTTCCCCAAAGAAATTCCTAATGCAGCAAGATAGAGAATTATTTTTAATTTTAAAGATATCCATTCTCTCCCTGTAATGAATCCAGACAGTAGCTTACAGTATGGGGGGTGGGAGGGGGTGTGTGTGTGTGTGTGTGTGCGCGCACGCAATTTGTAATACAAAGCTGGCACAAATGGGAAATTCCTGAAGTACAACCCTTGAAAGGGGAGGAGTCTGTTTGAAGGTTTCTCTTCTTTGGCAGGGCCCCCCAAATTCAACAGGCATGGAAGAGTAGAAATCAGGATAAATAAAAACTGATTTTTAAAAATATCAAATTGAATTTTTGTATTTAAATATTTTCTTTTTAAAATAAGCCTGTAAACATTAAATGTGAAATTATGACAAAATATGCTGAGCCTTACATTTATTATAATCTATTAAAATAATTTAAATGAAAAATGCTACATCAGTCAGCACTCAAATTTTAATGAATTACGGATGCTTTTTTTTATTATATACAGAACTGGGGGAAACTAACTTTTAAGATCAACTGAAGCTTTATAAATATGGCACAATGTCTTACATTGCATTAACTATCTGTATTTTCAGTTTTGATAATGGAGCAAATGCTGGTATTTAAATTTATCAGATGTCAGTACTTTTAGTTTCTGTTGTGCAGAAAAGCTTTTGCCTTAATTACTTTTGGTTTCAGGTTAGCTAGAAGGTGCAGAGAAAATATTTTTTTCATTTGGGCTAATTCATTCATAGAATAGAATATCAGGGTTGGAAGGGACCCCAGAAGGTCATCTAGTCCAACCCCCTGCTCAAAGCAGGACCAATTCCCAGTTAAATCATCCCAGCCAGGGCTTTGTCAAGCCTGACCTTAAAAACCTCTAAGGAAGGAGATTCTACCACCTCCCTAGGTAACGCATTCCAGTGTTTCACCACCCTCTTAGTGAAAAAGTTTTTCCTAATATCCAATCTAAACCTCCCCCACTGCAGCTTGAGACCATTACTCCTCGTTCTGTCATCTGCTACCATTGAGAACAGTCTAGAGCCATCCTCTTTGGAACCCCCTTTCAGGTAGTTGAAAGCAGCTATCAAATCCCCCCTCATTCTTCTCTTCTGCAGGCTAAACAATCCCAGCTCCCTCAGCCTCTCCTCATAACTCATGTGTTCCAGTCCCCTAATCATTTTTGTTGCCCTTCGCTGGACTCTCTCCAATTTATCCACATCCTTCTTGTAGTGTGGGGCCCAAAACTGGACACAGTACTCCAGATGAGGCATCACCAATGTCGAATAGAGGGGAACGATCACGTCCCTCAATCTGCTCGCTATGCCCCTACTTATACATTCAAAGTGGAGAAGCTAACTGAGCTGAAAAAGAAGAAAAGCTTATTTTCCTCTTTCAATCTATGAACCACCACCAGGTGGGAAGAGGATTTATAGATTCTAAAGCCAGAAGGGACCATTGTGATCACCTAGTCTGACCTCCAGAATAACACAGGCCAGAGAGCTTCCCTAAAATAATTCCTAGAGCAGATCTTTTATAAAAAAATTTTTTTTGATTTAAAAATTATCAGTGATGGAAAATCCACCACGACCCTTGGTAAATTGTTCCAATGGTTAATTATCCTCGCGGTCAAAAATTTATGCCTTATTTCCAGCCTGAATTTGTCCTACCTTCAACTTCCAGCCACTGGATCGTATCATAACTTTCTCTCCTAGACTGAAGATCCCATTATTAAATATTTGTTCTCTATATATAGGTACTTGTAGACTGTAATCAAGTTACCCTTAACCTTCTCTCTGTTAAACTAAATAGGTTGAGTTCTTTGAGTCTATCACCATATGGAATGTTTTCTAATCCTTTAATCATTCTTGTGGCTCTTCTCTGAGACAACATCTTTCCTGAATTGCGGGAAGCAGAACTAGACACAATATTCAAGCAGCGGTCGCACCAGTGCCAAATATACAGGTCAAATAACCTCTCTACTTCTATTTGAGATTCCAGTCTTTATGCATCCCTAGATCACATTACCTCTTTTGGCCACAGTGTCCCATTGGAAGCTCATGTTCAGCTGATAATCCACCATGATCCCCTCCAGTCTTTTTCAGAGTCACTGCTTCCCAGGATAGAGTTCCCCATTCTGTAAGTATGGCCTACACTCTTTGTTTTGGGATGTATACATTTATATTTAACTGTATTAAAACACATATTGTTTGATTGCGCCCAGTTAGCCAAGTGATCCAGATCACTCTGTATTAGTGACCTGTCTGCCTCAATTTTTACCACTCTCCCAATTTTAGTATCATCTGCAAACTTTATCAATGATGATTTTATGTTTTTTCCCAGGTAACTGATAAAAAAATGTTAAATAGTATAGGGCCAAGGACTCATCCCTGCAGGACTCCACTAGAAACACACCCACTTGATGAACATTCCCCGTTTACAACTACATGTTGAGACTTATCAGTTAGCCAGTTTTTAATCCATTTAACATGCGACATGTTCATTTTATATCATTCTAGTTTTTTTTAATCAAAATGTTGTGTGGCACCAAGCCAAATGCCTTTCAGAAATCAACTTTATCAACTAAATTTATAATCTCATTTAAAAAGCTATCAAGTTAATTTGACAGGATCTATTTTCCATATACCCATGTTGATTGGCATTAATTACATTACCCTCCTTTAATTCTTTATTAACTGATTCCCATATCAGCCACTCCATTATCTTGCCTGGGACCTATATCAGACCTAGAATTACCCGGGTCATCCTGTTTACTCTTTTTTAAAATTAGCACATTAATTTTCTTCTAGTCTTCTGAAACTTCTCCAGTGCCCTGAGACTAATTGAAAATCAACATTAACTCTCCAGCAAGCTCCTCAGCCAACTCTTTTAAAACACCTCGATGCACGTTGACTGGACCTGTTGATTTAAAAGTATTAACTTTAATAGCTTCTGTTTAACATTCTCCAGAGATATTAGTGGAATGGAAAGAGCGTTATCACTATATGATGGGACTACATGTTTTTTCACCCAAACACAGAACTGAAATATTTATTGAACACTTCTGCCTTTTCTGCATTATTATTGCTAATTCTACTATTTCAATCTACTAATAAACCAATGCCATTGTCAAGATTCTTCCTGTTATAACATATTGTTAAAACTCCTTATTGTCCTTAACAATGCTGGCCATAGATTTCTCCTTGTGTCACTTTGCTTCTGTTATCCATTTCCTACAATTCCTAACTTCTGATTTAGATCTTTTAATTCTAAAAATTTGAAGGACACAGGGCCAGATTTTCAAAGGGACTTGATTTCAATGGGAGTTAGCCACTTAGCCTGCTTAGATAATTTCAGAAATACTGCTAGGCACTTAAATATCTTTGAAAAATCTGGCGCATGGTGACCAGAAACAATCCATCAATTCACTAACTACAGTAAATACTTCCTTTGTTTAATAGGTCAGTTTTAAATGCAAAAAAAGTATTAACTTTTTTTTTTATGTCTACAGCATAATTAAGATGTTTTTATTAGTTAAATAAAACAAATTTTAAAATGCTATTTTGGTACTTCTAATGGACTCCTAATTGCCATCCAAATGCAGCTTGCCACAAATCCCAGGTTTTAAAAAAAAAAAAAATCACCTGATAAACAAGAAATGCATCACATCACCATTCAACAGTGGTCGCTTCATAGACAAGAACCATGGAGGGCTGGACCCAATGGCAGAACCAACAAAGAACCTCACCACAGCAGAATCAGGTTAGTGTGGAGCTTCTCTATGTACTAGTAATACACCTGCACCAACCAGGATTTGTCCTTGTAATTTGCCTCCCCAGAGGCTTTTGCTCCAAGGTTTTGCACAAGACTCAGTTTGGTGTCATCTGATTTGAGTGCCACCCCTAAGGTAGGGACCCCATGCACCTTGGGTAATCAGGAGTCAGCAGTATTCCCCCAAGACCAGGTGCTATGAAAACAGAGGGCCAGCTATGTAAAACCACAGCATCCCAGTACAGGGATGAGAGGCAGACTCAAGGACCTGCAAACATGGTTCAATCAGAGCCCTGAGACCAACTTGGAAGACTAAATTCCAAGAACTATTTCTCACTCAAGTCTCCCTTGATTTTACCTCTGTGTTTGGTCTTGTCAGGATTGCTTCCCATTAAATTAGCTGCCATTAGTACAAGACTCCCAGCTTCCATTTCCTCCTCCTACATCTCCATTCTGCCTTGAACCTTGTTTAACATATTATAGGATAAACTGGAAGTGCAGGAATACATGCTAACTGCTCCTGTTACAGCTATTAATTTTCATAGCTCTAATGAAAGGAGATGGATTCCTTGAGAATAACACATCATGTAATTCATGAATCCCATATTAACTCTACAAGCTGCTTGTAGCCAGAAAATTCAAAATTCAAATCCTTATTAAGAGCTGCTGATTTGATGAATGCACATGTTAATGAACCAAGCTGACTTTGGCAAAGGCAGACAATTACCTGGCTTTGATGGTATTGCTATTGAGGGCACGTTTGGCAGTGGTACTGTCTCGGGACCACTGATCTCCAGCAGGTTTTTGTCTAATTCTTCCTGTTCTAGTTCCTCCAATTCTGCCATCAGTTCATCCTAGTATTGTAAAGGGAAAAAGAAGGATTCAGATCACACTTGCCACTAAGTAACACAAACACAGACAGACTCAGCTAGGTATATTATTACAGGGGATGGCCTAAATGACCCTCCAGCACATGACCCTCCAACTGTGAGGGCAGGTCTGAGTCTCAACCCCGATCTGAATTTATGGCTTCACTTTCTGTTGGGCACAGAATTATCTGATCCAAAAGCCTCCAAAACGTTGGGGGTTGAAGTCCCATCCAAGTTTTGTAGCTGCCATGCGCCCAATTTTCCAGAGGTGGAAGAGACCACTTGCTAGGAGAAATTTTACATTCTAGAACTTACATTCTTGTCTGAATGCATGCAGAACTCAGATCACTAAGAGATGGGTTTTAATTTAAAACAGTAACTCTTGAGCTGTTTTACCTCATCAAAGTCTTCCCCAAATCCTACAGGCTTTGAAATAGCTGTTGAAATTTCATCTGCCAGCTCCTGCTGTTCTGCAATGTCCTGCATCAATTCGTCTACTTTATCGATATCCCTGTAAAGAGAAGAGTACATGATGTTAGGTCATTAGCCTGGTTTGCACTGCCCACTGACTACATTTGCTAATTCTGTGGCAATGCTAATTCCACACTGTGATGGCATTTCAGCTGTGCATGACCTCACATCTCCAGCCACTGCAGCTCTTCCTCCCTCAACTGCTCCACCCTGAGCAATCTCCAGTCCCTACTCCCTGCCAACATCTTGGCATTTTTACCCATTGCAGAAAGGTATGAAGCTTCCTCTAAAGCACATGCCATTTCTGCTGTGTGGATTGGGCAGGAGGAGGTGCTCATTCCCAGCAGATTACCTCCCTAATGATTCTAGAAATCACCGGTTTGCTGTTCTTAAATTTTTCTCTTTGGCAGAAATTTAGTGCTGAAAGATGGACTGAGAGCCCTGGAGGATAAAAGCTTCCATTTGCCCTCAGAAAAGATATAAACACATGGCAAGATGGACTGATCCCACAAAATCCTTTCACATAGGTAGCCAAGCAGCCCATTGGCTGGCAACTACTTTTGGTTACTACTACAGATCTAGGTCAGCTTTAACTTGTTGGGGTGAAAGGCTCCGTTACCCTATTATCAATCCTTTAAGCCATCAAGAGCCAATTATCAGTTTGTTTTGAACTCTAATTCTTAGTGTAACTCAGATCTAATTGCTTTAGTCAAGGCTGGAAGAAAAAAGTGCCTTCACAGGACAAAAAATTATCAGCAGCAGCGTCAAGTCCACAGTTAAGGGCGAGCTGAGTTTTGCACTTGAAACTGGGATTCAACCTCTTATGTATGAAAAATATAAGATGTCCTCCCCAAAATTCTACTCCTTAGTCTCCGAGCATAGAATGACTTCTAAAAATTTAGAAACAAATTCATTAATTAGTTTTAATTAAATTAAAAATGGGTCCTTTAAGAAACCTGGCACCTGTTTTGTCATACTTATGTCCCCAACGACCATAATGAAATAATGCAGACTTTTACAACTTTCTATATACTTAACTCACTGAAATCTTGTGCATGGATTACATTTAAAGGGTTTTCTCGTTTTTTAGAATTGTCATTCTCCACACACACCCCCATTCTCCATATTCAAGTTTATTCAGGGGCAGGAACTCAATACACTTCAGAGAATTCCACAAAGAACTGCCCTCTTCCAAAATAGCCACTTTTCCCCATTGTTCTCAATGGAACTGAAGCAACAGATGGCTCTTAGCAAAAATAGCCATTGCATCTATTCACCTACTCCTCGGTGTTCTTCTCCGCCTCCTGACAGCATAGAGGGCTATCATCTTTCCTGAGGTCAGTTTACCTTCACTCCCATTGAGAGCAATGGAATGTGGTGGCATTTGGAAAGAGGGCATATTAACTGAGCTCAGCACCTGGCCTCATTGTCATTGCAAAAAATGGGGGATGCAGGTCATTTTGAAAGAGTACAATTCTTCATACGTTTCTCTGGAGAATATTTTACGCACCAGCCTTTTCTACCTGAAAGCTTTTCTGTTGTGAAAAACAGCGAAAAATTTTACAAAGTTACCCTGTTGCACCAGAGTTACTCAAGAGAGGGGGGAAATGGAGGGTATGCATGCAGGAGATTGTAGGGGGTAAAGGAGAGAAGAGAAATCTGAGGCACTCTTCAACAATTTAATGTCTTTAAAAATCAGTTTAATTTAATCTAGGACCACAAACAATAAAATGCCCTAATCACATGAGGTCACTATATGGCTGAGTAAAGACTATTTACATTCCTATATCTGAACAGGTTTGGATTTCTTTTAAATTTAACCTTAGTTGAGAGTTTCCTGGGTTTGCTAATATTGGCTTTGTGTTAATTACAACATCTCTGTAATGTAATTTACCCTTAGTTACTAATATGTACTCTCAACCATAACTCCATCTCAAAGTCATTTTTGTCTGCAAATTATACTGAGTAGAGGAAAAAAGGAACAGACTACACACCCCTTTTAAGAAGTGTTCAGGCATTAGATGGATCTGTGACCGGTACATCGCTGAAACCACTTCAGACTATTATTGACACTATCCTTTAGCTAGACAAAAATTGTGTGCGCGCTATTAATGGCCTCATACCACACAAAATGTTTCTGGGTTGAAAAATCCCAGTCTTTTGTAGCTCGATCAATAAGCGAATGCATCCAGTATTATATTTTAAACTTTTTAAAAATACTTTACTACTTTGTCTGTAACCTCTGCAAAAATCAGTTATTTCACGCCAAGATGACGCAGAGCATTTTAGCAGATTGCGTGGGACCCGGTTCATTATTCTCTTTCTATAATTTTTCGTTTGATTTTGATAGAGTGGACATTCATTCAAGGATACAATATGAAATTTCTTACATGTTGTCATGAGCAGCTTTCATAGCTTTAGCAGCCAAGCCCATATTCTTGAGCACTTCAGTATTGGTGTTGGCATTTTCAAGGGCTTCCCTCTGGAATTCAATTGTTGATAACGTGCCATCTATCTGTGAAAGCTGCTTCTCGTACCTCTTCTTGCGTTTTAGGGCTTGAAGAGCAGCTAGACGAAACAAAACCAAAATAGGATGTATGTTATTTGTGTCCAAAATAGCCATTCAAATGTGTACAAAATTCCATTCACAAAACAGAACAATGTTTAATTCATTCTATTGCTCATCTGCTCGTCTTTCTAGTTTAATTGAAATTTGTTACTGTTGTTGTTCCTGCCTAAACAAATGTCATGGTAGCCAAGCCTCTGATGTCCACTTCATGTCAAATACAGACTATAAACCAGCAATTACAACATTGGTAGTCTAGATGCTCAGCATGGATGATGCTACAGCAGGAGTAGGCAAACTTTTTGGCCCAAGGGCCACATCGGGGTTGCAAAACTATACGGAGGTCTGGGTAGGGAAGAATGTGCCTCCCCAAACAGCCTGGCCCCTGCCCCCATCTACCCCCTCCCAACTTCCCACCCCTCGACTGCCCCCCTCAGAGTCCCTGACTCATCCAACCCCCACCCCACTCCTTGTCCCTGACCGCCCCCTCCTGGGACTCCCACCCCTAACTGTCCCCCGGGACCCCACGCCCTATCCAACCCCCCCTTCTCCCTGTCCCCTGACTGCCCCAACCCCTATCCACACCCCCAACAGGCCTCCTGGGATTCCCACGCCTATCCAACCCCCCCATTCCCTGTCCCCTGACTGCCCCCCGCAGAACCCCCGACCCATCCAACCACCCCCTGCTCCCTGTCCCCTGACTGCCACCCTGGGACCCCCCACTCCCCACCCCCTTACCATGCCAGAACCAGCCATGCCCCCTGGCAGCGCGGTGTGCTCAGGCTGCGGGGGAGGGAGACAGCGGGGGAGGGGCCAGGGGCTAGCCTCCCCGACTGGGAGCTCAGGGCTGGGCAGGACGGTCCCACAGGCTGGATGTGGCCCGTGGGCCATAGTTTGCGCACCTCTGTGCTACAGAGTACTGTGTTTTATAGCAAATACCATGTCTCAAAACATAAGCTTTAAAAGTAACATCTTCCTCCATCTTTTCCCATGGAACACACAGCAGTCCATGGTACAGTAACTGCCAAACATGGTTTTAACTATGCCGCAGGCTCAGGCAGCAGCTGCAGATAAGCAGGAGTGACTGGGAGAAAGTATTCTATACAGAGTTACAAACACCAAAGTTACAAATTGACCAGTCAACTACACCTCTCATTTGAAACGGGAAGCATGCAATCAGGTAGTAGCAGACACAAAAAAAGGCAAATACAGTAGAGTACTGTGTTAAATGTAAACTACTAAAAAAAAATAAAGGGAAGGCAGCATTTTTCTCTGCATAAGAAAGTTTCAAAGCCGTATTAAGTCCATGTTCAGTTGTAAACTTTTGAAAGAACAACCATAACATTTTGTTCAAAGTTACAAACATTTCAGAGTTACGAACAACCTCCATTCCCGAGGTGTTCGTAACTGAGGTTCCACTGTACGTCACGTCCTGGTCCCGCTCCTGTTTGAATAAGAGCAGCGGTCAAGGAAAGCTCATCTTGTATAAACACTCTTGACATCTCCCCTGGTGTAAGGACCCACCCGCACAGAACCTTCTAAACATGATTTTTGTAACCAATAGAGGTGCTGTCTCCTTATCTGTAACCCTGTCCAGTTTGAGCCTGCACAGCAGCTTTCCTGCTGTAAGTGTTTGTTTCTAGATCTACACAAATATGAACAGACATCACAAAGTGCTGTCAATGAAAGTAAGGGCAGATGAGCTATCCCACAATGCCTTTGCACGAAATTCACAGAGTGACACCAACACATGGGTCTGAGGAGTCTGGAATGTACTGTTGTACAGAGAGCTAGGAGGAAGGAGAACCAGTCAAAATGGATACACAAACCAGATCAGGGTTTTCAGTTAACACTAAGCACTCAACTCCTCACTCCCAGTGCTTGCGCACATGTGCGCACAACCAGTTACAGGAAGATACCACCACCCGATTAGATCACTGGCAAAAGTGAAACTCAGCTAGCTGCTCCGGATCAATCATTCATGATGTACGTGGATTAGAGCTGGCTGGAAAATCCCTGTTAAAAATTACGTGTTCTTTAAAAAAAAATGTAATCCCAAACTGAGACAAAATGGCAAAAAAGCGACATTTTCCCAGAAAGGGGATTTTAGGAAAGCTCTGTTTCAGGTGAACCAACATGGAATTTTTAATTTTTCTGAGAAAGTGACATTGACAAGAGCCTTGCAGCCCAACAGCAGGACAGGCAGAGTGCCCATGCACCCGGGGAGCTAAGCTGAGCATCAGGGAGGCAGAGAATCAGGCGTTCAGTGATGGCAGCCACCTGTAAAGCTTTTGTCATGAGAGACCTTCCAAGCAGGCAACTGGGAAACCATCATTTTGATTCCCTGCTCAAAACTAATTATGTGTGCACGCAAAACTAAAGTTTTTCCCATAGAAAATTTTGGTTTTGCGAAGGACTTTTTTGGTTGAAAATCATTACAATAAAAAAAACTTATGACCAACTGTAGTGTGGATATAAAGTGCCTGTAAGTAGTTACAAATTTGACTACAGGCTGTAGTGTGAAAAGGGCCTACCAAAGGACAGATTGGTTGGGTATCATCACACGAAGAAAAAAGGAACACACACAGTAAAATATTGGGCACAACCACATAGGCATAGGCATATTCCTACTATACCTATCCCCTTAAATATACATTACAAAAGAAATCTACATTAGAAACAAATGCCTTTGCCCCTCCATGACCAAGCATTACATCTCCCTCCATCCAGGTCCTTTTCTAGCTATTTCCAACCAACCAACCTGTGCTTCGGCTGACAGATTCAACACAACCTCTCTGAAAGAGTCATTGTTTGGATGAAACAATTAATTACCCTAAATGTTATTTCCAGCTACCTCTGCCAAAGAGATCAATAATCCAGTTCTTCAATATACAATAGACTTGGTAACTTAATAAGAACATTTATCTGCTTAAGAAATAGAATCAACTTGGATATCTACTCAGACTCTAACCCGATGACTGCAGTTCTTTGCTCCAAGATACAGCTTAACATTTGAATTCAGACCTGTGTTGCATTTCACTCCATGCATGTCCTTTTTGTTCAAGTCTCTAGCCTCTGTGAAAGTCGGATCAAAAGAAGTTTACTGGGGAAAGGTGTAGGAAATGAATAATTGAGAAGTCTCAGACATATACACACACACAATATCCGGTTGAGGGCCAGTTTGTAACAGCGAACTTGTCAGTTACACATGTTCATTAGAAGTGAAGAAAAAACAGAGAATTTCCAAAATCCAGTTCTCAAACCCATCCCCTAAAAATGCTATTTCAGATTTTGCCTTTCCTCACTGTAGTGCTGGAACTGAATTGTGGGGGAGATTCCCACTCCCCTACCCGAAAATTATAGCTTTCCTAAAGAGAGAGAGACTACACTCCCTTGTCACCTTTTCTAGAATACTGACAATTTCAAGCAACATGATGGAGTGGCTGCAACACAGGTGACAGGGCTGATCTCCTAGAAGCTGACTGTAAATTTACAGGGGCCTCATATGTACTGTTGGGTCCTGTCTTGATGGGTAAAAGGAGAGTTATCCAATTGTGTTCAGTTGAAAACACACACCTTTTTAGCCCATCAAGACAAGGCTTCTGGGTGGTTGCACACTACACAATCCTTTAGTCTTGTAACCCTCGGGTTATATTATCATTACTCTGCAACACATTACAAAACAGAAAACTAGGTACAGTTACAATTAAAGCTGCCAAGCACAAATCAAAAGTACCATTGATCACATCCATTGAAACAATCTAAACAGCCAGTATGAAAATCAAACAGAGGTCACATTGCCCATTTTGAGTCCAGCTTTGCACAATTCATGCACACACTGCTAAACAAATATTTCTGTGACCTGCTCCCCCACTTGACAGGTGTCCCTATTTTAGGACCAATCCAAATTCCATTAACAATAGCAGTAGTCTTTCCTTTGATATGAATGGGAGTTTGACTGGGCTTTCAAGTAATAAAAGTATTTGTTCTGCAGTATCATGCTGGATGCTATTGGTGACTGCTTTATGCCATATCATAAAATTATGTGCAATACATTAAACAAATATTAGAGATGATAATAAACAAACTAAATACAATTTAATTTGGGACTGATAACATTATCTTGCTCAGAAGGAAAAGCCTGCTATTTGGATGTGCTTGTATTCAGTAGTGATAGCACTAGAAAGAAATCCGAGAAACAAAGGTAGGAAGTTCAGAACTGTTGATTTTGTGGAATATGTAGACTGCAAGGCCAGACTTCTTACAGCTGTTGTATAAACAGAAGTACGGTATTATAGTTTATGTACAGTTCTTAATGAAAGCTATGGGATAAATACATAAGCTTCGTTTAGACTTTGTACTTACTGGGAGTATTTTGTTACAAGGGCAGAACTCAGGCTATGTGGGCACTAAACACTGAGAATGTGTTTTTCATTGTGTGTGTGGATGAACTAGATGTCAGGGTACTAACCAGAATTTTGTAACCATATCTTTCTATTTCCATTCCATTTATTTCTATTTTCTTCTCTTGCCCACCCTTCCCACCACAGGAGTGTCTGTTCAACGTATTTCACTCTAATTGCATTTACTAATCTTAAACCATTAGAGATTTTTTTGTTTTGTAATTTCCTCGGTTTTTTGTTTGTTTGGTGGTAAATCTCTGGTTTAATAAATCAGGCTCCTGCTCCTGCATATGAAAAGCTCTGTGCTATGTCTCAGGTAAGCTTTAGTTGACTCAAGTTCTCTCCAACCCTGGTTCTCCGGTCAATCTGTAGTGTCCTGATCCGGGCCAGTCCATGCCCCAGCATTAGCCCTACTTTCCCATGTTATCCCCTGACATTTTTTCTAACAACAAGAATGTCCTTATACCCAGTAGTGGTCATGACCTTGATTTAAAAATCTCACTACTCAAGTTTTCCATAGTCCCTTCCATTTTGCCTGCTGCAGGATTACGCTATGAGAAAATGGTAGAAAAGACTTCTATGTTTCAATGATGTTGAGG